TGAGAACCGCTTCTCTGAAATTGACCTCTACTCTGGACATAGAACCGAACGCAGTTGTAGAAAGCTCAGCTGGCCTCGTCTGACCTCGCTCGACCATGCCAGCTGCTAGGCAACCCTTCTAGATAGCTCTGAAGTATTCCTTCCGGACAGGTTCGGAGTCCTTTTTTGAAAATCTCTGCTTTTCTTCAGTCTGCACCCAGACAGCTTTCTGCTTGGTGCTCTACACAGCATTTCAAAGTTTGGAGTCGCGATCCATTGAGGGCCGTAAAAATCTTGTGCAACCAGTCGACAATTTGTACGCCTCCTTTTGGGAGCGGGATTCTGCTATTTTCGGTTATGGAATAGAAGTTCAAATTTTTCTCTTCTCTGCTCTTTGAACCCTAACTGCTCTCAGATTTCCCGAAATTTAATTCCTATGCTCCTAAGAATCCCGAGAAATCGAACATTAGAGAAGCTCCTACATGAGAAACCCGTCGCTGCTTCTAGAGACCATTTTGGACAAGCAACTATTCTACTATACCAGGAAAAGGGAACCTTGGACTTCTAAGTGAATGGCTATGTATTCTGACAGGACAGAAAGACTGATTGTAGCTTGTTTCATCTCCTGCAGTTTTTCCTTGTACGGTAGCGATCAAATGCATTTACGGTTCGGGTCGAACTCATGGCTAACTCTGGCGGGTTCGCTTGACGCGTATTGAGTCAATCCCGTTTTCTCTCCATAAAAGGTTCATCGAATATTTCGAGCTAGAGCTTATCGTCTCTGCCCTCCAGCTCATGAATTCGACGAAAGGAAGAAATCGTGACTTATAAGCATAGAAACTCCACCTACGTGCCCGTACGCTTTCACTCGTGCTTAATAATTGTGGCAGACTTTTTAGCCAGCCTTTAGAACTACAAATAATATGAGTGATTCAATCGTGGGCGGAGTTCCGATTTGGTCACGTTCGCTTCGACAGTTCCGGGTATCCAATTACCTCCTTCCCAACCATGTTTTTACTCAGTGTAGCTGAAGTATCTCTTCACATCTTTTGGTTACTACTTCAGTAAGTTTTCGTATTTCTGGTTTTGTTTCAATGGCCTTGTTTTTCGTGATAATATGCGCTCCTTTCTGAAGTGTCCCAATATTTTTGGTAGAGAAACCGAAAAAAAAACCGGCAAATGACTCACGTTCTTGAAAAGCTCCGCGCGAAGAAGGTTATGACGTGAAAAGCACAAGTGAACACTTAGCTCCTTTGAAAGCTGTCGAGGCTTTTTGAGCAGGTATCAGAGACGAATTGTCTTGAACATCTCCAGGATTCGTCTGGAAGGCAGGTAATTCCCTGGTGTAAAAAATGCTACGGGACAGATGGTTTAGGGGCAAGTGGAGCTGCTTAGCAACGCCACGGTCTGTGAGTCAGTCTCTTAGTCTACGCCTCTTAGTCTAGCCGTTCAGGCCAACAAAGCTTCCATCCTCTGTGCTCGATCACTTTGTATCGGACTTGCTTGGCAATTTACATCGTCTGACTCTAACCATAAGTGATTGTGCAGGCCATATCGCATCTAACATGCCACTATGATTCTCAGGAAGCGGAATGCGTGGCGCATCCCATAACGACATTGAAAAACGTCGAATATTTTGGATATCTACGTCAGAAAGGCTTCAGTACTAGAACGGGAGATGTTTGAGCTTTCAGTGGTTTACGTTAGGTGATTTCAGGCCCAGTAACCTATTTTATGAGCTGGACGAACTTTTACGGTTTCATGGTTTTTGTGGAGCATTTTCGAACACACCGATTGGAAACAACAGTGGTGTTTCACTTGCAAAAATTTTCATGAGAGAAGCTAGATAGAAACGTCTAGATCAATAAATCACTTAAGCAAAAGATCACCATTACATATTGACACAAATGCTTTGCGATTATCTCGACACCGCGTGGCACATAAGAG